ATCCTACTGTCTTTTAACAGTAAATTGTTGTAAAATCAAATCAAGGTACTGTGGGAGCAGTTTCTTAAGGCATTGAAATTATTTAGAAATATTCAATTTTATTGCTGATGGTCCTGTTTGCTTTTGTATGTCATTCAGAGGCATACATATTCATTTCAGTCTGGTTGTAAACCAGCAAAAAACTCCTCACAGAAGCTTTATAATAAATCTGTTGATCTTACCAGGAACTGGAGGAGGATGGCCAGATGACTTGGGGTGAAGGGCAGCAGAAAGGCACTCAGGCTGCTGTAGATGATCTTCACACAGGCCTGACTTTTTGGGCTCTGCTTTCCAGACTTCTTTAGAGCCCAAATGGTCTGAACTGAACACTTAACCACCACCAGAGCCGGCAGCAGGAACCCAAATATCTGCAGACTGATGATCACTGAGGGGCTCCAGCCGTTCTCTGAAAACTGGTGGAAGCAGTGGAAGTCTGCCTGCCCAGCCTCCCTAAAGCGATAGATGGTCGGAGAGATCACGGCCAGCACCAGCATCCAAACCCCCATGCAGGCCCCCAGGGCGGCTCTGGGCGAACGCAGTTGCTTGGCTTTGAACGGATGACAGATAGCCACCCACCGGTCCACAGCTATACACATGATGGTGTAGATGCTGCCATATATCCCAACAAAATACAGAATTTCCAAAACTGAACAGAGGGGATAAAGGTTTGCAGGCCAGCGGTGGTTTGTGGCATGAATTTTGAAAGGAAGAGGGAAGAGAAGGAGCAGGTCCATAAGAGCCAGGCTGGTCATGTAAATAGTTGACTCGGCCCATTTCCGCAGAATGACGCAGAACACAAAAAGAGCAACAACATTTAGAATCAACCCAAAAATGAAAATGGGGATGTAAAAGACCAGCTCCAAATATGTCATCAATTGATCCACACCTTCAAATGAACAGTTGTTTGTCATTGTTGCTGCTGCGGGGCAAAAAAAAAAAATTGGTTTGATTTAGTTTCAAAATCTCTGTTTCTGTCTGAATCAAAGCAAGGTGTCGTCCCTAGTCTTTCCTGTTGTTACTCTTTGTTCCCACTCTGACATATATGAGAGGTGCCAAGTCAGACCGCTCAGCTGTGTTGGTTTACATCTCTTCATGTTTGAAAAGATTTTTCTTTCTAATGCAATGGCCAAATTCAGAAAGAGAATGTATAAAGTATGAGTGGGTATGCTTTAAATGCCCAATTTAAGTTTGAATCATAGAAGAATAATTAGGTGTAGGTTAAAAGGAAAAATTTTGATTCTTAAATTTCCAGACAGGAAAACTAAAACGCATATCATAGGTGTTTGACCTGTAAGAAGAATTCTTTCAAAATTACATCAGTGTTGTTCCTGACAAAGCCAATAGTCTTCATTGTTTTGAATGCTTTACTGATATTTTATCCATTTTGGAGTATTTACAATAAAAGCAGAGCCTGTATTAAAAACAAATATATGCCTACACGTGTGTTCAACACTGGTTAAGCCTGACATTAAATTGTTTAAGTATTAGGTATCATCTGCAAAGAGAAACCTAGTTGTGCTCTTACCTCAGAGATGCCAGTCTCTCTCTCAACGACTGAACATTGACACTGTCTGCTTGGAGCCAGACATACTTCTGCTTTTCTACCTTTGGTGTTTCATCACCACATCCTGAGTTTAGCAGCACAACATGCATGTGTGTTCAGATGTGTTTTATTGATGATAGATGAGTATGATTCAGAAAATCAAACTAGAGGCGAATTGGTTCAGCTGGTCTTCATAATATTATTCACTGTTAAAAATAAATGCATCATCATCGCAAACTCCAGGAACTCAATATTTAAATTAATCTTTTGATTCTGAAAATGGGATCATTTGTTTCTGCTGTTTCAAGATATTGTAGATCGAAAAACAACCCAAAAGGCTTAACTCAGCTTGCTAACATTTCTAAGTAATGAAGATAGAATAGTTACCATATTCATCATAGTTAATAAGTTAGCATGCTTACATTTGCTAAACAACAGTCATATAGTACTGCTGAGGCTAATAGGTACATCACTGGAATCACATTTGGTCATTAATCAAATAATGCACTACTAAATTATTTTAACCTGATGGTGGCTTTAGATTAGAGGTCAGGGGGTCGCCAAAGTTTGCAGCATTTGATCTCAGCGGGCTGTGAAAGTCTGTACAAAATTGTCTCTTGATCCTTCAAATAGTTTTAACATTTCAGCCTGGACCAAAGTGGTAGACTGTCCAAAAGTATCTCACAGAACCCCAGTCCTTTAGTAGCAAAAGAGAAAACTGAAAGAGCAAAAAATTAACTGATCACATGAAATGTAGTATTGGCTAACACTCCAGGTCTCTATGAGTATTTCTGTAAGATTGTGGTTTTATGCTTCCTCAGACTGAAATTTCCATTACTTTAAACACGTCATGTTGGTTAATTACTTAACTGTTACGATGGTTCATTTGACCATCGTCTGGGTACATATGAAGGTTGAAATATGTACATGTATGGTGAGAAGACAAAGACCAAAAGGCCCATTTTGTTGTATGAACCGGCTTGTATTGTACTTTTTTCAGTCACTGTCTAGTTTGTGTCCATCACCGCGTTAAAGAAGAAATCACGCATTGTCACTGATTAAATTTATCGACTCTCTTATGGTTATTTCTATATATTTCTGTCATTATTTTTTAACTCAATGGTGTAAATCAGTCAATATATCGTGAAGATGAGGACCAAACTGTGGAAGTGTTCAAAGCATTTCTCTTCAAGTCTGAAAGAAACTGCAGACGCAGATCTAGAGCTTGATACTGTTTGGGGGTTTCCTGGTTTCAGATGGTATGGTGAAATTATTTGACTTGATTTTGAGTGTTGAGAGCGTTGGGAAGTGAAAAACAAAACTCGTAAATTATTATGTTTTTGGAGTATAACTTGAACATGAATCCTCATCAGCCAGGAGAAAAATTATAAATTAGGTACAGAAGAAGAAGAAATGAGGAATATTTAGAGCAAAGAAAATGACACTTTCAGTTTTAGCAAAAGCACAGCTCTTTTTTTCTGCAGCTTGCAGCCACACTGCCACCTGCTGGTGTGACTTAATTGAGACCAATATCTCTGTAGATGAATCTTTAATGTAACCCTTCAGATGATTATTTTTTTCAATGTGAATTTAAACAGAGCAGTATCATTTAAAATGGTAAGAGTGAGACACCTCAGTAAGAATAATATGGTTATCATTTCTAGTGAAGACGACAATCTAAAGGAAATGAAAATAATCTTGCATTGTGATCACTGTGCTGACTCAGTGATCATGTGCTAACAAACCTCACACATTAGTCACAGATACTGGCATGTGATTTATCTGATTTTTTTTAATTGGAGATGAATCTCAGACAAAATAATCTGTGTAGTTACAATGACAACATCCAAAAAATTGGCTGCCGAGGACTCACTGTATAGAAAGAGGAAGAAATACTGTGCTAAACCTATACCCGACCCTCACAAACAACAACACAACTAAAAACAAACAAACAAAAAAATCCATTCATGCTCTGATTTTATATTTGCTCTGTAAGTAAAACAAAAGGAAAAAAGAAAACAACACCCTGTTTACATGAATTATAAAAAATGCTTTCTTCTTTTTCTGATGTTTGTAGATAGTGAAATAAAAACGTATAAACTTCCACATGAATATCCCAGAGGGAGTATTTTAGAGGTCATCATGGCTCATGCAGGCATAGTAACTTTTACAGATTGAAGGAAAAACAGTACACACTTCATGTATAAATGAAAGCAAAAACATGAAGGATGCTTCACATCTTACAGCCATCAACAAACAACCCACAGACATTTAAAACCCTTTAGAGCATGGACCTAACAACGTGAAAAAAGAGAAGACAATTCTGAAGAACAATAAAATGGAGATGTTTTGATTTCCACTGGAAGAGCCAGCCAGTTTCTAACATTGTATCTAGTTAACATTTTGAGCAAGAATTCATCACACTAACATGAAGGCCTGTTCAAACGCTCAGGGAGGAAAGCTAATATGCTGTCATAGTACTGTTACTGTGTTCCAGACTACAGGCTAACATTTGAGAAGTTCAGAGCGACTTTGGTAACCTATAAGTTTCTGTTTTATCATTCCAAGAATTAGCTTTTAACCACTTAGGAGATAACGTCAGTGTTTCCTGGTAAACTTTGAGAAAAGCTTCAATTCCTAGCTGATTGTAAAGTAAGCTAGTAACTGTTAAGTAAGATAGTGAGTGGTTTAATAAACCGTTGGGCCATATTTCAAGGTAAACCAACAACTACAGCAACATCTTAGCTGTTGACAACAGCTAATGCTTGATTGTATCATTGTGTCATGCCTGCACAATTAAAAATCACCATCTTTAAGACAAAGAGACCAGAAACCCAAACACACAACATTAACAACATCATGATGTTTATAATGTTTATAATAATGATAACAGCTGACACTGTTAGCTCAGAATTTGTTAAAAAAAAAATTGTATCGTCAAAGTGGTCTAATTGTTGAACACTGACATAAGCTGACGTAAATGTCTAGCAGTTACAAATGGGTAGTCAAATATCTTTTTGAGGTTTGAAAAGGGCCTCATGTCCCTCCAACGCTCAGAATGTTTTATCTTGTTCATTATTTATTTTTATGGAACTGTTGTGAGATTCCACAGTACAGTTTATAACTTGACTTCCACGTTAAATATTTGATGGCCACCATGTTATTTGGTCAATGACAGTGTGTTGACGTAGCTCTACAAATATTTGGAAAAGGGACCTGCCACAATTATTATTATTATTATTGTTGTGTCTACAGAAAAGCACAACACAAGATGAGGAATTAGACCGTTTAGAGTTGAGAGAAACGTTAACACACAATCACTTGAGGCATACACACACACACACACACACACACACACACACACGCACACACACACACACACACACACACACTCACACTAAGCTGGGATGTATTCACTCTAGGAGGCAGTGAACTTCCTGAGTGTGATGACAATGAGGGCGAGGAGCACGGACGCTCCCAGGAAGACAGCTATCACGATGGCTGTGATGGCCCCTGGCCCCAGCACCCCTGCACAGACACAGACACACACACAGATGTAGTTTATAATACATTTCATTATGTTAAATCAACACAGATTTGTGGCTCTGAATGCAAGATGAATTTTACCTTCCTCCTCGTCCATGGCCTGGGAGTGTGTGGAGTCCTCGTAGTCGTAGGTGAAGGACGGCTCAGTCATGTCCTGGAGAGGGTCTTTGGTGGTGACGTCACTGGGCATCTCCCCAGACATGGTATCCTGGTTGTCCCTGGTTGTTGAGGCAGGGTCTGCAACGGTCTCTGTAAACCAAGAAGCAAAACTACTTAACGCTTGTGTTTATTTTAAATACAGCTAATCTATGGGGCGCTAGTAGCGCAGTGGTTAGTGTGCACCCCATGCACAGAGGCTACAGTCCTTCAAGAGGGCAGGTTCGGGTTGAAACCTGACCTGTGGCTCCTTTCCCGCATGTCATTCCCCACTCTCTCTCTCTCTCCCTGATTTCTGACTCTATCCACTATCCTATGTCTTAAATAAATGCACAAAAAGCCCCCAAAAAACAGTTAATCTAGAAACGGGAACTTAATCTGTGTTGTGCAGCTTTTTTTTAAAATTTGTAAATTTTCAAACAAACAATAAAGTTAAGAAAAACAAACATAAAATCTCAAATCTTGAATGAAAAGGAGCAGAAAGAAGACTAATCTTTTAATATATGCCCCTCTTTCTCAAAGCTTTAATTAAAACAAAACAAAACACTTCATTCAAAAACAATAAAAATTAAAATAAATTGGCTGCAGGCAAACACAGCCACTGCCATCATAGGTTCTCCTAAACAATTCATTTTACACTGCACAATATATATATATATTTTCACAGCATCACGAAACAGACCAATATATCTCATTGACATATTTCCACATATTTATTCAACAAACTGGCTTTAATTTTTCTTTTAAATATCATGTTTGATTTTGATTCTTTAGTTTCTCTGTTGAGAGTTTTCCATAAACTGATTCCTTTTACATTAAAACAACATTCCCTCAATTTGGTTCTGAATCTCGGTTTATTAAAGATCTCTGTTCCTTTTAAAAAAGTAACGGCTTTCCCTTTTTTCAAATCTGTTTCGGATGTTTTTTGGCAATTTTTTCTGATTAGCTTTAAACATCATTTGCAGAACACTGTAATCAACTAATTCATGAAATTTCAACAACTGTAACTGAATGAATATGAGTATTGACTCATGACATGTTTTCTTAAAGCTGTAATTTAACTGATGAGGCACAGCTTTTGCTAATGGCTCTGTTTGATTTTTCTACGGACGCTGAGGTATTGAGCTGTATACATGGCTCTGTCTGTAGTGACTCCAACAGCCTCTCTCTGTCTCTGTGGGTTAACGGAACAGGCCTGGGCATAAGGATGTCTTTGTAGAAGATGAACATTGTGTCCCTTTGAGCTACATCCAGCCTCTCAGTAGGTTGCTCTTTTGCCCAAGAGTTCAACCAAGCTTGTGTATTGTCAACATAAAACCCTTGTCTTAACCAAGGTTTTGTTATATTTTTTTGTTGGAGTACAAAAACATTTAAACAAAAAGCTTGTTGGAGAGGCAGTATTAAGCTTGGGTTATGAATATCTCTCTGATCTCTTGTCCTCTGGCAATCATCCCCCGTTCTCTTTCCATCTGAAGTTACCCTCTAACATTCTTCTCATCTGAGCATAGAGGTACCCTGAGACTTTTCACATCTCTACAGTAGCCAGAGAAACAAAGTCTCTTTCTGCCCCTCTTTTTTTGTTTCCAAACACATGTTGCAAAGCTTCCCCTTTAGAAATGCTCAGTAAGTGCTTGTGTTGTACTTACTCTCTGATGTACGTCGCTTTGGATAAAAGCGTCTGCTAAGTGAATTGTAGGATTGTAGAAGATGAATCATGAAAATGACTGAAATGGTTGTTTCTGTCGTTTTGAGCCGACTGGCTATGAAGCTCTTTTTTTTTATTTAAAGGAAAAATAGGAAAAAATGATTTTAATCTCAAATGAGTAAACAAACTTCACGCACAAGCCCACCCACTCACTGAATCACTTATCCTATCCTCAACTCTATACATACCAACAAAACCAAAATCCAAACATATTTACACTCAGGTTATTTAGTGCTGCATATTGACTTTGTAGCCTCTGACGCCCTCAATAAACTCCTTCACCCTGTCTTTACATCTCTGCTTCTTGTCTGTGTCATAGTCTCTGATAGAGCGAAAAACATTGCAAAATGACTACAGAATCAGTGAATGTGATACAACCTCAAAGGATAACTGTCTACCTGCTAGGTGTGGTATCGTGGTAATTCTGATGTATACTTCAGATGTGAGTTTTCTGATGCTGCTGTGTTGACTTTAAGTCGTGTGCAGCTTCCTGTCCTGAAGCTGGCTGGAGGTTTGGAGGCCCGGGCCTCCGGCCAGCTCAGTCATCAATGAGGCCTTCAGCCCAGGGCACAAAAGGCAGCTTGTGCGGTCACGCAGGGCGGCAGGCTGCAACCAGTAACAACCGGCTAGGCCCAAACCAGGCAACGGCTGGGCACTAGATGTCTTTCAAACTTGTTTATTAAATAGTCCCTGTGTGTAAAAGGCTGTGCCTGCTGGACAGCTTGATTTAATAAGAACGCAAAAAATAAAAACATTATGTTTTCCGTTGGTGTTTGTTTCCACAAGGAGACGTTTACTCGAGCTTAAAATTTCTCTTTAATAGAATTAGTAAAACTGAAGCCCAGATGAGCATACTTTTTCTGAGCTGACAGTTAGCTGCAGTGGGTCATAACACTTGTTATCTGATGTACTGCGCCACACCCACAAACACCCACAAACACCCACAACACCCACAAACACCCACAACTTTCTTTTTCCTCTTTTAAAGATTTTTGTTTTGGGGCATTTTATGTCTTTATTGTAGAGATAGGACAGTCTATAGAGTTGGAAATCAGTGACAATGAGAGTAGGGATCCAAAGGTTGGATTCAAACCCGGGCTGCACGCTTAGAGAACTTTATCCTCCGTACAAGGTGTGCGCACAAACCATTAAGTTACAGGCACCCCTGTCCATACTTTCTTTAAGACAATGATTACAGCTGCTTATCAACACTTTATTTTCAGCAATTTTCACTGTTTATTTTTCATCGTGTTGACTATAACGTTTTGTCTTTTTTTTTTTTTTTTTTTAGCAAATAGAGCAAGTTTCAAATGTTATTTTTGCTAACTTTTTAAGCAAACTCTTTCAATGTATTTGTTCACATTTTATCAAACATTTATTCATAACTTCTTGAAACCATTTCAACTTCTCTTCTCATTGGCTAACTCGTTTAATGGAAGCTCATCTTGAATACGTATGTGTTTAAAAAACGGACTCAGGTGGGGTCATTTGTTTATTGTAAATGTATAGGTAAGAATATATTTAAATGTGTAGTACTTTATGGATATTTGATTTCACGTGTGGCACATTGTAATATTTCTTTAATTAACGAATGTCTTCCATTTTGTTGAAGTACTGAAAGTTTATTAGTTTACTTTTTTTTATTTAGCTTTACATCTACCAACTGGAACCAAATAAAGTACTTATTTGTTTAAGTGTACAAAAACCTTTGACTGGGAACACTACACTAATGACACTTTTCAAAGCGGGCCTCTAACTCTACCTCCATCTCCAGACTCATAAAAGCCTGGCAGACTGAACCGAAGGATGATTTCAGACTCTAAAAACACAGAGGAACATTTGTTGGTACAGCCGGCATCCTTGGTCGGGATTTCACACCAGCTGGAGAGATAACAAAGAGCGTGGACATCTGTGTGTGAAAGCAACCTGTCCAAGCAGCCAAAACAGTGAGTGACCTGGCCCTGTGTCCTTGCTTCACCCTCACCAACTTCAATTTTTCTGAGTTTTCCATGGTGAAATATTTTTGACACAACTAACCAGTGCGTTGTTGATTTCATTCTGAGGTTGGAGAGCAGGCGTAGGGTTAAATCACTTGGTAAAGTTGATCTCCACGTCCTGCAATGAGGTCTTCAAGTCTCTCATACTTGATTAAATCAGACACTTTGAGGAGGGTCCACGAGAGATTATCACACTGTGTTTCTCAAGCTTCTATTTTGATACATCTCAGTTTATTTCATTCTGAGTCAAGCGTTGACTACTGGTCATGATGGTTCAGTCACTGGGTTGTGGTCAAGATTGGTGGCGACACTCAGAAACATCATATTGAACAAGATGACCATAGCATTCACTCCAGACAGACACGGGCATATTGGAGACTGAGTATAAGGCCAACAGAGCACCTTCATAACAATTTATCGTGGCTGTGTGGGAACTTTATGGCACAGGGAAACTTTCAGATCATTGTATTTACTCGATTTGTACATAAATATCCCTTATTGGGAAGGTTAAATTTGTTTTAAAAGTTTATCTGGGAGCCCTGGTAGTTATTAAAAATATATTTTCCTTAAAATATATATTTAAAGTGTAGCACCTCAGTGTTAGAAACTGTTAGACCATAAGATGTTTTGTCCAAAGTCAAAGGTGACTTCACAGTTGTGCTTTTTTTCCTTTCAGTACAGGGAGGACATTGTCAACTCGTGGTTTATCAGTGTCGTCCCGTTGCCCTCTTGACCTCTACTGTGACCCCTGAGCTGCTCTATGTCCAGAGACGATTTTTTTTTCAAACGGGTCTGAGAGTTGTAACGAGTTGAAAGTGAAAGACAGACCAATACGTGTCTAGTAAGAGCTGAGTGTCAAGGGTGGAAGGCAGAGGTGGTTGTAAACGCTTCCTACAACACGACTACAGTTTCGTCATCATCATCAGCATCACGACTATCTCTGAATTCTCGTCATATACTCTAAAATAAACTCAACACTTAATCTCTAAAGCTTGAATCAAAGGGCAGCAGGTAGTCAGTTTAACAGGGGGCATCAGGAAAGTTACTGAGCCATCCTATTTGTCAAAGAGCAGCTTTCATCGCTCTTAACAAGTGTATCATTTACTTAAGGCTGCAGACTCACATCACAGCTTGTGGATGTACATGTGTGGAAAACGGAAAAACTGACACAAACACTCATTGATTTAAATATCTACAGCAAACCACCAAAGCTTTTTTTTTTTTTAAAAACATGAATCTACTTATTTACAAATGTAAAAAGAACAATTAATAACTTTGTCGTTCAAATTCAATACCATTTCCATTACTTAACTCAGAAGCACCTTAGATGTTTGACTGTCAAAAGTATTATTTGTACTCGATCTCTTTCACATCACGTTTTATTTCCATGGTAACAGCCAGATGTTTTCTGTTAATTGGACTGTAATCTTGCATGCTCTGTCTTCCTTCCTATTTTTAGCATTAACTTCTGCAGCAATGTTGTACGTGTCACCCAACAAAAATCGGACTAAAATATCAATCACACTCTGAAGGAGGTTTACCTGTGTGTACGAAGGCCACCGAGGAGAGGCCGAGGAGAACCAGGAGGAGTAATCTGCGGATCCAGCTGCTGTGAACCATAGTGGCTGTGAGGGACGAGCTGCAGACGGAAATAAGCCAAAAATCTTGAGCTTTTATCAAGTAAATGACCCGTCGAGAAGCGCAAGAGGAGAGTAGAGGGTAGCGCAGGAGAGGGAGAGAGGTAGGCAGCTGAGGGGTGGGACTAGGTGTGCACAGGACTGTCTGGACAGTGTGGACTTTGTGAGCACATCATCGCAGGCCAACACCCTCTCCAAACTTCTCTGGCCACATAGCTGGTTGTGAGGGGGAAATATTTGTTTGTCACTGACCCTGGCTTGGTCACTTTTGAAGCACAAGAAATAATTTTCTCAATAATCTTAAGAAGGAATATGATTGAGGAAACATTGAAAGATCAACAAGAGCGGTCAAGATTTCAATGTGAAAACAGTTCACAACATATAACAGGACAGGGTTAGCAAAGATTGAAAGTGTACCGTTTAGTCCATGGCAAAAAAAAAAAAAAAAAAGTTCCATCACTGCATTAATGATGCTTAAATATACATAATTGGGAATGGGGTGCCCAGCAGATCGCATCCTACATACGGAGGGAATAGTCCCAAAAACACAGCAGCCCAGCTTCAAGTCTGACATGAGGCTCCTTTCCAGCATATCATTGTCCACTCTCCCTTGAGTTCCTACTCTATCCACTGTCCAGGACTAATCAAGGCAAAAGCCCCAAAATAAAAATCTAATTAAAAAAAAAAAAAACTTGGGGGGGAAAAAAAAAAAGAGACAAATTACAGTTATTGAAGTTAGTTCTGATTTGTACCCAATGCAGGTGACGTAATAATCACACCAAGTATATACACTATAGTATATAAATATATATCATTTGAGGATATACTTGTCCATCTGTCATCTAATTGTTCCTACTTTTTGTAGGCAGACGAATCCTCCTTCATAACTCTAACTGTTGGTTGAAAGATAAGTTACATGGTACAAGTAGAACATGACAATTATTGACCAAATACAAAGCTATATTTCAGTTTGATTGATATGAAGTGTGCACATATTATCAATGTCTAACCTCTCGCCTGGCAAAACATGCATACTGTGGTATTACCCTCCAACATCTGTAAACTGACCATGTTAGAGCAGTAACCGTGAGAAAGTGTGTTCAAAGAACTGCAAAAGGGCATTTTGGTAGAGTCCTAATCTCACCTTCTGCTTTCATATGTTGTACTTTCGTAATGTACTTTCAGGTTTACAAATGCACGGTTAAGCTAACCCCATGTTTTATCAGTAAAGTGCATTTGGAAGTCTTTCAGTTCTCTTTGTGGAATTTAAAACCGTGAGCTAAAATAAATCCTAAAAAACAACTATCAATCAATCTGTCAGGATAAAAAAAAAGTATTAGGGGAGATGTTTACCCAGGAATGTGAATTCTTTAAATTGAACTATATGTACCAGTTCTAACATGAATCTCATCTACTCTTGTAAAACACTCATCTCAAATTAAATTCCATTGCTTGGAGATTTAAAATGTTCTTCAGATCTTAAACATCATCAATACTAACACCATGCTTCCTCCATGTTCTCTTCAACACCAGAATATATTTCATTCTTATTTCCACATATACAGTTCTAAATAGGATCCTTGCGAAAAGTGAATCGTGCACGTTAGTATTTCACTCAACAGTTCAGACACAGATGTGAACAGCCCACTTATCAGACTGTTTTATTTCATACTGCAGTAAAAAAGTACGACTCCAGCAGATCATTTTCATATATTATAATACAGATGCAGAATTGAAAGTTTATTCTTTAAACAGCCTAGTATTTTACAAGAAATAGATAACTACTTGGAACTTTTGAACATGTCCTTAAAACAGGACATAAGTGGGCACGAATCCTTGGGCTCTACTTTGCCGTCATTACCCATGAACACCCAGCAGAATACAGGGAGGGGAAAGAGGGGGAGGGGTTAAGGGGTTGTGAGGAAAACAAATTTCAATAAATAAAGCAAAAACAATGGATATAATCTCTCTAACCTTTTCCCATAATACCCCAACCACCCACCCATATATATCCACACTTAAAACAATCCCAAACAATGGCGGCCAAATCTGAAATTTGTTGTCTCTGAATTTCTAAAACGGGACATGATTCTGGACCGAGCAGATGCACGCCAAACAGTCAATGACGTCTCTCCAGACTTTTCTCCAGAAACTTGAGTTCATCATGTAGTTCCTCTCTTGGCCGGTTGATGGTTTCACTGGCAGGTTTTTTTTCAGACTATTTTTGTCTCAGAGTTTTTTGTTTTATTTTCATTTTAAAGCTCCGTATGCAACTGGACACTTACGGTCTCAGAGATTTGTTTTCAATTTAAAATGAATGTGGGATTACCAGTGTTTGTCTGAAAAAAGGGAAACTAAAAATAAAGTTTGTTGGGCAGTCAAGGGGATGTGAGAGGGGTTCAGGTAAAACAGCTGCTGTTCAAATTGGATACAGTCAGTTGGGTTTGCTTGGCTGCAGTCCCTTATGCGTCTTCTAAAGTCTCAATCTCTCCCATATTCAATCTCTCAGATGAAGCATTCACAGAGAAACCTAGGAAAAGTAACAACAGAGATGAGTGGGTGAGATGGAAAATGCATCGACACATGGTTGCAGATTTTTTCAGTGAGCAGATGGGTGTACACTCTCACCTAAAAGGCTGGGATCTGCGCGGACCATCTTCTGCTTCTTCTTCTTCTTCCCTGAGGTGACGGTCTCAAAACGCTGCTGCTGCTGCCCACTCGTATGGTTGGACTGGTAGAGTGATGAAGATCCTGTTCCACCCCATACTGAGTCCTGGGTAAGAGAGAAATTGTTGAGTAACTGTTGGAGAGAACTTCTTGTTTATGACAGAAAAGTCCAGTTATTACTGTTAGTCTAAACGTAGTCCAGGGACTTTTGATTTTATTTAAACTAAAACCCTTTTCACACATACGGAAATCTCCTGAAAAACTCTGGAAATGTGGCTACCCGGAGGTGCTTTAGGCTGTGTGAACGCAAACACCCGCATTTTTCGCGCAGACTTTACCCGGAGTTTCTCCGGCAGAGACCCCTAGTATTTTATCCACAGAAAATATACGCATATACTCTGGAGATTTCAATTCAAGCCAATGGGAAGAGAATGACGTTTATATACAGTGACTGATGATCCAATGTCTGTTGAGAAGTGGTTTACGAGGAACAGTTTTCAATACTAAATATATGTTGATTAAATGACATTTTTAACTACAATCTATATTTATCACCACTATTCAGACTATTCATGTGCCAAGGATTTGATCTAATCTTGGATAGATTAACTCCCCCCCGATCCAATAGACACTAACTCAATTGATATTGATCACTAGTATTATTACTTTTAGGATCCATCCAGCTCCTTTGTGTGATTTATACATAGCTTTTTTGATATGTAGTGTGATAAGAGTACTGTAAATTAAAACACAATGAATGCACTATTCAGATCAGGTCTGCATGAGGATCACATGAGCAGATATGAGCTACAGCTCCACTAAGAAACAAAGAACAGGCCGTGGAATCACATCTTTTGGAACTGATCCAAAAGGTGTGACGCAAGAGAAATTCCCAGCAGAAGTGTAAACAACAGTGTTGGCCATTGAGTATGAAGGCAGTGGCTATGTCAAATGAAAATACCACACAGAAATACCACAGGGTATCGGGGCGCTGGTGGCGCAGTGCGCGCGCCCCATGTATGGAGGCTGTAGTCCTCAAAGCGGACGGCCCAGATTCGAATCCAGCCTGTGGCTCCTTTCCCGCATGTCACTCCGCCCTCTCTCTCTCTGATTTCCAACTCTATCCACTGTCCTATCTCGCCATTAAAAGGCACAAAAGCCCAAAAATAAATATTTATTAAAAAAAAGAAATACCGCAGGGTATCAACTATTTTTGGACATTTAAAAAGGGACAGATGCCCGTCTTTTGATCACATTACAAGACCTGCATGGCTTTGGAGACAAGGTGGAACAAAGCATTTAGTGCACCCATCGTGAGCCTTTAAGCCAGTCACTACTAGGGCTTTCACGCCAGCAGAAAACTCCTGAAAAACTCTTAACTTCACCCGAAGTTACTCCTGACAGACCCCTAGTATTTTTTCCGCAGCAAGTCAGAATGAGCCCGGCAATTTGCCCTTTGCAGCTAGTTACCCTTTTTCCTGTTGACCTCTTACTTCACATACCAAACAATCCACAAACAGAAATGAGGTTTAGAAAAGGCTCAAAAATGCCACTTCTGTAAATCAGAAATTGAAGACATGCCGCATCTTTTTGGGTTTTGTCCACGCGTGGGGATTTTCTGGATGACCCTCGAGAAATGGCTAGCTTAGCTTTATATCACTATTGTTCACAATGAGCCCTCAAACAATTATTGTTGCTGAATTAAAAATAACTTATCATTAATTGTTTGAAATCCAGGTCTAAGCCCGCCGCCAGAACTGTGGAGTATGCTCAGAACACCTAGGTCAGTTTGTGGCTGATTGATATTATACATGCAGGAGTAAATAAAGTCCCAACCACATTTTTATTTTTAAGATGTTAACTTACTGACTGATTGCACTTCAGTCCTGCTCACCTGCTGCTGCTTGAAGGCTTGTTGTTGGTTCTGTGGTGTCGGTTTCTGTTGGTTAGCGTTCTGTTTGGCACGGCGTTCCAGGAACTGCTTGGCAAAGTCCTTGGCCTCGGGAGTGTCCCCCAAATAGGCCCTGACGTAATCATGCACCTCGTATGGAGAATCCACTTCTTTCAGGAAGGATGCAAACGTCGGAACTGGCAGGGAGACACATGGAGGATATTTGTGAGTTTACAGAAATGCTGTAAAATCCATAAATATTTGTGGGTGGCTTGCTTTGGCAAAAACTTATTTTTAAAGTCTTACCATCCAGATTGTTGGCTGTGTTGAGGGTGTGCAGAGTTTGCTCACACCATTGCATGAAGGTATCCTGCTGACTCTTACTGACCCCTTGAAACAACTTAAGCAGCTTTTCCTCCTCTTCT